CAAAAAAAAAAAAAAAAAGAAAAAAGAAGAAGACACTGGGTGTGGGGGATATAAGAACTCTCTGTACTACCTTCACAATTTTTCTGCTAATCCAAAATGCCCAGAGATCAGAAACTATTCTAAAAATTTTATTTAAAAATTTGTTTGTCTTTGAATAGGTAATATACAATTCAAAAGTCAAAATGGTCTCAAAAGATATATAAAAAGAAGACTTGTTTCCACCTTGATCCCCCCTCAGTTTGCCACCTCCATAGGTAATCAATTTTATTAGCTTCTTGTGTCTTTCCAATATTTCTTTATAGAAACGTACTTTTTAAGCCTCTGATTTCCTTAATCCAGTTTCGAGCCCCACAAATCAGTCACAGGTTTACTTTCATATGGGCACTATACTCTCCATGGCTTACGAACTGTACCATTTCTAAGTGATGCTGTTCTATCCGTTTCTCTGAACAGTAGCTCCTTGGCAACACTGAAAAAGGCCAACTCAGTGCACAGGTCACATGCAAATGAACCCTTGCCCAGAGTCCAGAAACATGGCTACCATGGAAGCATGTGGTGCAAGTCGCTTTGCCCTTAGCAAAACACAGAGAATGCCTAGTCCTACCCAAACCCCTTCTGGTCTGCATCTTGCTCACACTTGAATTAGCTTTTCCTGTGGCTGCCTCAATGTGCCTTCTTTTCCCTAATATATTCCCCTCACAGCCCCAAACTGTTGATACTGACTTTAGGCAACTACAAAGGATAATAAATACAGTATTTTTTCTGGATAAATTATCTTAAGGCTACAAATATGTATAAAGTTACCTTTCTGAGCTGTTATGATACCTTAAGATTTTTAATTCCAAAGAAAAGCTATCAAGAAGAAAGAGGGACATTTGCTTTCATCATTTAAACAGAAGAAAAAGGTTGGAGGCAGAGGGGAATGCGATATAGATACCAAAGGAAAGGAGTTTCCGTGAGTAGAGCATTCAGCTAAGCTGATTTTTTCCTCTGAGGCAAAATGAAAATATTTCATGAACAACTAAGTAAAATTGCCAAGTGTCCGTCAGCTACTAAGGTTATCAGAACAAAGGAGAGCTGAGGGCACACGGCCAAGAGAAAAGAAAGTCTACTCCACCTCCCCACACCCGCCTGGAAATCGGCCCCGCCAGAAAAGCGATTGGGGAACTCGGGGGTCTCTGGGGGAGTCGGCAATGCCAGTGTGGCAACGGCCCAGAGGAGAAGGAGGAGGGAAAGGACAGAAAAAGAAGCCGTGGGAAGAGAGAAAGGAAAATATAGTAAAAGAGAAGAGAGGAGTGTGCAAAGAAGGCGGGGAAAGGGGAGAGGCGGCAGGGTGAGGGGAAGGAAAGGGTCGGGGCGCAAGGTAGAGGGGCAGGTGTGAGACAACGAGGTGCGGCGCGTAGTAACCCTCTCTGCTGCTCTTCGCCCTACAGCTCACTCCAAACCCAAGGAGAATGACGCGAGAGGTCTCACCTGGAAAACCGTGATTTGATGAACAGACAGGTCGTCTGACGCCCGCACTGGCTCGGAGAGGTCGACTTCCGCGGAACCCCGCCCCAGGCACCTGGTGGTCCGCTCTGGGATCCTGGAGGCTTCCCTCTCAGTGGTTCATGAGCTGAGGACCTGGAAGGAGCAAGAGTGGAAAGGATTCTATTTACACAGAAAAAGGCATTTTAGGCTTTTTAGCTCCTTTAATCCTGCAGGGCAGACGTTACAGTCATCCTCTCATATATAAGAAATCTAAGAAGCAGATAAGTTTTCTGAGGTTGGACAACTAATAAAAGCGCCGAGGTGGAATTTGAACCTAGATCTGTTACAGTCCCAACTCCTTCCATTTGCTTCCTAGCAGAACCAGCAAATGGTATCTCAAGGCTTAGGTCTTAGAAAGTAATCCCTATATTAATTTGTAAATTTAACACTATTCCAAAAAAAATACGAACCTTTTAATAAGTAGATTTTAAAGTTCACATAGAAAACTAAACAAGAAAGACTCCACCTGCAAAAACTGAAAAAGAAGGGCAATGAAGGGGCACTTGTCCTAAAGAATTTTAAACATATTATAAAACCTCAATAATTAAACAGTGTGGCACTGGTGAAGGAGATAAACAAATGATTCAGAATAGAAGGTCCAGAAATAGGTGAAATCACAGGCAGAAATCTAGCATATAATAAAGGTAGCCAATCAGTAAGAAAAAGATGAATAGACTTTTCAATAAATGTATGCGGAGAACTGGGTAATCATCTGGAAAAATATTAAACTGGATTCCGACCTCACTCTGTACACTGGTAAATATTTCAAATAAATAGAAGTTGTAAATGTTATAAATGAAACCATACAAGTGCCAGAGGAAAACATGGGAGAAGTCTTTTATAACTTCAGAGTCGGAAGCCCTTTCTTTCTAATTAAGAACCAAAATCCAGAGGCCATAAATGAAAAGATTGATAAATTTGACCCTGCAAAGAATCCATACTCCGGCAAGGTAAAACAAAAAAACCCACTTAAGTAGAGTGAAAAACAAATAAAAAATGGAAAATATACTTACAACTTATAGCTCAGACAACAGACAGCAAAGGGAGAACTTCTGAATAATAAAAATCATGGAATTGGCAGAGCTGAGCTGGATTCCCTATTGTTCCACCCTCATTTCGAACTTAACCGGATTGCTGAGCATTCATAACCACACAGTTATGCTGATCTCATTAAACAGAAGTTTAAGAAAAAAAAAAGTGTCCTCAGGTCCCTTATATCCAGAACCTTCAGAAAACTACAAAATGTCAAAGTTTAACACTTAACAACTCTCCTGTAGGGAGAAGGGTCCTTGTAATTAATATTTCAATAGTGTATTCCTGGCTAGGAGCCGCAGAGACTGCTGCCAGAGCTGACATTTATTAATAGATCACTTCTTGACTGTGTGCAAGAAATGGGACCTAGAAAAAATTAAACACGTGAAATTATGGGGAATCACTGTATAAACAAGTAAATCAGCAGAGCAGGCCAAGTCCCAGGAAGGTAAGGAGAGGAAGAAATAATTACAACAAATATCTAGATAGCACTTCTTTTGTACCAGGTAATGTTCATGTAATGTAAAAGGCAGTTGCTTTTATCATCCTCATTTACAGATGAGGAAATGGAAGCACAGAGATTAAGTTATTTGGCTACCATCACAGTCTGACTTTAGACTTGCATACATAAAACGTAGGGAAAAAAAGAGAAGAATCATCACTAAGAGGCTGAAAGTTTTAAGATGACTTGATAATACCTCTCCTTTGCTGCCCTCTTGTCTAGGTTCATCCTACGCCCTCTTGAGGTCCTCCAGCTTAGCCACTTTCCCAAAGACCCTCTCACCTCTCCCCCCAATGCCACTCCCATTCCGAGACCTGGCATTCCTCATCAGAATAGCTAGGAACTGGACTCAGCCATTGTCAACCGAGCTGCTGGAGCCAGCTCAGAGCAGTTTTCCAGTAACAGAATCCTTGGAACCAGCAAAAGCAGCTCTTCTAAAAATGCATACATGCAGCTGTCTTGTTAATTGGAGAGTCTGCAATTCAGTAAGATTCCTCTTGAGGGCCTCCTTTTTCCGGAA